GGCGCGGTGTCTGACAATGGTAAACAGTCCGTCTGCGCGTGCAACACTCGACCATCGCAGCCCGTCTACGCGTGCAACACTCGACCATCAGCATCCCGTCTACGCGTGCAACACTCGACTACCAGCAGCCCGTCTGCGCGTGTACCACCCGATCATCGTCGGCCCGTCTACGCGTGCAACACTCGACCATCAGCTGCCCGTCTACGCGTGCAGCGCTCGACCATCAGCTGCCCGTCTACGCGTACAACACTCGACCACCAGCAGCCCGTCTACGCGTGCAACACTCAACCTGACCCCGGAGACATGTACCGGGTTTTCACATGAAAAAACGGGCGGCTCGGACTCCATCTTACTGGTGGCGCCATGGAGGTCAAATAAAGGAGCCAATCACCATCCTGAGAGCAGCGAGTTATCCAGTCAGTTGACAGCCTTTCCTGTCACGACTTTAAGTGCGTCCAAATGGAAATAAGCGTGTTAGATTGGTTTTGCGGGAAGGAACTCGCCCCCGAACACAGATGCTTGTTGCGTCAATCGACTGATGCATGACGAAAGTGCCAGGGATTCGGACTCATAGGTAGTCACCAGAGTGTTTCACTCAGCTTCTGATATAACTCAAGTCTTTCAAATCAAAGCTTGAACACTTCATCGGAGGTAATTGGGCCTGTTAGATGAGATTTCCGCTACCGGGTTCCATTTGTTAGCTGCTACTGGATTTTGTCAGGAAAGTATCAGAAACAACGAACAGACGGCGGGAAAAGACGATCTTGCTGGGAATATTGAATGTTAGCATCGAACGCTCGAGTGTCAAAAAATGGAACTGCTAAGTGCTAGCAATTAAACACCTGTTCTGCGTCTCTTAGGCCAAAACGAGTGGAGATCACTGCAACCAAAAATAGTCTTTCGGTACACATCTAAAGCTTGGGCGATTGGTGATGCAGGTAGCACGTATAGAGATTTCTTAAATGAAAAACTGCCGATTTTGTCATCGGGAGAAGTAGATTGACACAATCCGGCAGAAAGCGAAATAAACTAATTATCTAAACGAGTCAGAGTGGCACAATGCGGCAGTTGCTTCTTCCCTGGTGAGAGGAATTTGGAGAGCCCTGACGGAGCAATTGAGTTGGGCTGTAGAGCTTTGCGAAACAGTGGATCCAGGTCAGCTCAGGCAGACGGGATATCTGGAGATCGGCAACGCGGGGGAAAGTGAAGTCTCTGTTGAGCATCCTAGTAGTGTCCAGCCAATCGCAGCTGCGCCCTTTTAAGAATACTACGCTGCGAGTCCCCCATCAGGGGCAAGACGCTGGCCTTAAGTGTTTCGTACTGTAACAACATTGCTGACTAGATAACTGCCGTTAGTCCATACCGGGCCACACTTTTGGACAGGTGCCTTTATACCTTGGATCACAAAGCGCAACACTGCCGTGAAACCTTACTGCTCAGTATGGATAGGCGACAGTTCGTTCATCGATGGCGACGATGTCCAGCATGTGCTCCAAGATAATGTGAAGCAGGCACAGTGACTAGCGCGCGAGTTGGTTTATAGTGAGAGCTGGATTGCACTACCGCACTCTTCCAACCTGGGCTCGGTGTCCAGACATAGTCGAGAGTACCGGGGGCGAGAGAGGGCGCAGGTGGCTGGCACGGCCGCACCCGCACCTGAGCGTACCACCACACCCCCCCCCCCCGCCCTGTCCACAGCAAACACTCGACCAGGAGTTTAACCAATAACAACACAACAAGGGTCAGAAAGAGGATGACCGGACAGTCGTGATCACGACTCGTGTACCCAGCGGAACCTCAGGCGCATCTGTCAGCAGGGCAACAGATGACAGTGAAGCGAAAAGACGAGTCCCAGGAAGCAGTCTTGAAGAAGAAGACACGATCGCCGGGACAAGAGCTTTATTAGTCTGACGTTTCGGATTCCTGCTCGAATCCATCATCAGAGACATAAGCAGATAAGGGTGGTTCATGCACATGCGGCTGCAGTAGCCATGCCACCGCATACCTATGAATAGTCACGGCTCCCTCCCCTTCATCAGGGCTCGTTGCACGTGGCGTGATGGCCGATTTTCGCGTCGTTAATTGCTGCAATTTCAAATGACGCCAGCTCTCAAGTTGCGGCTCATTTGACGGGTTCCGGCCACACATTCAAATTTGACGAGGCCGAAATTCTCGCAAGAGGTGACAACCGCGTGAGCCGGGAGCTGCTTGAGTCATGGTTCACTGGCCCCCAGTCCATTAACAAGTGAATGATCTTCCCATTCAGTACAGCGTGCTGAGACTTCGTCTAGGCGGAGTAATTGGCCACGCGGGGAGCGCCCTGATGAACACTTCCCAACACCCGGGTCAGCGCGTCAGATGGTCGAACAATCATCACACCAACATCCAACGCACGTGATGAAATTGCAGCAACTAACGACGCGAATATCGGCCATCACGCCACGTGCAACTATCCCTGATGAAGGGGAAGGAGCCGTGAATATTCATAGGTATGCGGTAGCATGCCTGCTGCATTCTATAAATACTGCAGCCGCATGTGCATGAACCACCCTTATCTGCTTATGTCTCTGAAGATGGGTTCGAGCAGGAATCCGAAACGTCAGGCTAATAAAGCTCTTGTCCCGGCGATCGTGTCTTCTTCTTCACGGTGGACAACGTCAGCAACGACGGTCGAACTGTTGCGCAGATGACCCTAAAACGCGTTCTTCACGTCGTTGGGCTTATCAGCGGGGGAGCGAAGCCCCGTAGTGGCCCCACTCCGAGTGCCTGTAACAACGCTGGGCCTTCCGCAAGTGTCTGCACGTGCGCACCAGGGCCGTCTGGCGCCCCCCCACTTGGCATTCCAACTGGCCAATCAGATTCAAGGCCGAGTCAGACGCGGCTTGCCTTAAGACCCTTTCACGTATTCCCTGACACGCATCCGGGCAACACCGCTTTCCCGGCGCCGGACGCGCCCTCCTCCGGCTACTAACTCTCTCCAACCCATCTGTGCAGAATATACAATCCTCCCAACTAGCGTTCACCCTCTCCATTCGGAAGGTCGTGGTAGCCGGTATCCCACTCACGGCTTAGGCTTCTGCGATAGCGCTGATGATGGTAATGAATTTGCATTGCTCCAGTGGTGGTCGCTTGCGTATGCGGCCATCGTTTACTCCCTCGGGGAGGCAGGACAACTGTATTACGAAGTCGTTCTTCTGGGTGAAGGCTATCTGGACGCACGCTTTAGAAAAAAATTTGTAGTCGGTGTCGTCTTCATTCAGCTGTCCCTCCTCGGAGAGATGAGTCTCGCTGAGAGCCGCTAGATCTACCTCATGATGAGCCAGTTCCCAGGCGGCCAGAGTTGTCCTGCTCTCCGACTGCCCGGCCATTGAATTGCTGAAAATGCAGTGAACATTCCATACTGCCAGAGAGAGCGGTGTCAGTCTAGCAGACAGTGGTGAGACATGGGGAGTGGAAGGGGCTTTGTCATTGATGCTGATACACCTTCTGTCCCAGAGATCGTGTGTTCATCTCTACAATAAATGGTATTCCCATAACCGTACCCATCAGCACGCCTGACTCGAACTGTTGGTTGATGAGGCACACCTATGGTCGACGGGCTGACATAGATTTCTGCACCCACTCACTCTCGGGGTGGTGGTGGATGGTGGGAAACGGTAACCAGCTGTGAAGGCCGAAAACTACCGTCACATTGCACGCGAAGTGAGAGTTCGTATTCGCGGCATATACTGACGGGAGAGGAGCCCGTCCAGCGATTGCTCGGCTTCTCCTTTCACGGGTGAATCCGAAAATGTCTTCAACGATGTGCTGTGCAAAGTACCGGACACACCGTCAATCGGAGATGCCAAAGGAGCTAAATTCCCGTCCGTTGAAAAAGACGGCATCCTGGCGACTGAGACTCATCTTCAACCGGTTACCTTCTAAGATCCTAAAGCTGTCACTCATTTTCCTAATCCCGCCATCACCCAAGGAAGCACTTTCGGACAATGCTAACGTAGAAAGAGGTTCAGTAAAACGGCACAACGACCCGAGTGGTCGACCTCGGTCAGAGTAAAAGCTCAGCATCCGCCCGCCGATCAATGATCATCCGTTTGATGCATACCGAAGCCAATTTAGACTCCTCAAGATCCCGCTCACATACGGGAGACGTGCCAAGGATGCTAAGCGCTTTCCCACGATCCCCGTTCTTCTTCAAAACGAGGCCCGGGCACTCACCTTAGAAAACGTCGACGTCACGGTAGTGATGAAAATGCCACATTTGGCCGCAAAAACCCATATTGGCTTATAACTGTCGGATCACACTAAGCTGAACAACACAGGGGCTGTACGACACCATTCGCGGAGAAGACGCCGCTCCACGTGCTAGCGATCAATCAAATCGTATGGCTACAAGGTCAGCTGACAAAAAGCTAGAGACAAGTAGATAGAACTACGAGATTTTGTCAAGGCGATAAGTGTTTACATTCGACCGTTGTTGAAGAAATAATTCCTGGGGCTAGGTAGGTAGAGACCTTCATTCTTTAAGACATGACGCGGTGATACGCATCTGTACCCGCCTGTCCACATGTCCTTTCAAATTGAAACCACGGTAGCAAGCCAACCGACGAGACCATGTATGCGTTTTTGGGGTGCTGGAAGATTACTGGGCGGATGAGAACGAGCTCCTTTCTCTCGCTCTCGCCGTAATACGAAATTTCTGATAGTGCGGCGCAAAACGTAATAGCAGACGAGGAACGGTACTCGGGATGCAGGGAGAACCGCAAGAGAAAGCCAGAAAACGTCAGATCAAAGTTCTTAAATGAGAAAGAGCTCTACACATTCACAACTATGCAAGGGTGGGAGAAGCAGCAAGGTGTGATATGAGAGGCTGTAAATTGTCAAACACTGTAACCGTAAAATGCGCGTTGGGGTGAGGGTGTACAGGGGAAATGGGGTATGGGTTGGAGGACAAGAAGATTTGCGGGCTGACTTTGAAACGCGAGATGCATGCTCGTTCGGCTTCAGGTTGTTGCATCCACCGGGACTCTGCCAATTCGCTTGGCTACCAGCCCGTTCGTACCCTTTTCACGACGATTGCCAGCCGACGGCGATGTGCTTGGATCTCCAGAGTTCTCAGAGCGCCTGTCAGTGGCGGGGCGACGACCATTTCGCCGCTGACCGCCACCGCCGCGTGAGATAGGTCGGCCCGCCCTTTGCGACTCAGTCATCTCAGTACCGGAATGGTAGTTATTTTGAGCATTAGCCGCTGGTCCTAAAATATAAACGGAAACAAGGAATGAGTTCTGTCATTAAAAGCGTGTGACTAGTTGGAGGAATTTTACAATACAGGAACTTTGAGACGATACTGCGCTTGAAGAAGCATAAGATCAGTGCTGGCTAAACCATATGATGCGCCGTCTTCAGTCCAGCAAAGCATTGGTTGCTTTGGCCGACGCAGTGGCCAGGAGGAGGAAAATGCCAAAGACCCAAACCGCTGTCGAGCGTGGCACACAGGCCAATTTGGTGGCGCTGCTGCATCGCCCTCATCGTCGATTATGTCTCTTCTCTATCTCTGCCCTCCCCCTTCCCAGCCTACTACTTTTGTCCGAATCGCACTCGTCCACATCCAACCAAAAAGGTTTGGTGTGCTGATGAGATCCCAGAATTAAGATGAAATCACGGGAGACGGAATCTAGCAGAGAGGCCTAAGGTTTTTTGTTAAAACAGTAAATTCTTAACAGGAATGAAACAGAGGAGCACGTCTTCAGCAGACTAACAATTATACGGTCAAAACAACCTACTGGGGCAGATAATTGAACTCTGCCCTAAAATGCCTGACATAATCATCCGAGAAATCCGTCGAGCCACGGCCTAACAATAAAATGGGATGTCTACAGCCTTGTGCGACAGAAGACGGTCGATTGGATTTTCAGCGGCTCTTTTGGACTAAGGAATTAGGGATGGGAGTAAACGAAGCAAACGGGACCGGTGTCTACCAAAACCCATTCGTCTTTGAAAAATAGTTAAAAGGGCATGTGCTGACCACTTCGCACGCAAGCAATTACAAAATCGACTTAACGAACGGTACAGAACGCCAGTACGGCAAATTTGATGGAGGGGAACCCTACCCTCAAAATCTTTTGCTAGACGTTCTGTACGCCGAGGAAACACTTTTACCCCCAAAGCTAGCTATCATGAAAATTGGCTTTGGATGGGACCATTCCGGCAAAATGTCCCAGTGCATTTATAAGGTCCGAGAGCAATAACAGCCTCCTCGACTAATAAGGATTAACGAAGGTGCTACGGACGAAGCTTTGGTAAGGAGGCCAAGACAGACAGGCTATACTGGCAAAAAGCGGGGCGGATTTGAAGGTGGAAAGCTCAGGGTAAAGTCACTGTTTCGGTCCAACTTACCAGATTTGGGGACAGGAGGTGGCAGCGAGACCTGCCTATTACCGTCCAGTGGGCGAGCCGGACCACGGGGCTGCTGGGTGTTTCGACGGTGCGGGGGGCGGTGATTGGCAGGGCCATCCAACTGTTCTCCCTCCGATGTTTGCTGTCCGTCGCCGTTGGACGTGGTGCCGTCTCGGTAGTCGGCTTGACCGTGATGCCGGTTGCCCCAAGGAGCAGATGCCCCGTCCGAGTTTGACTTGCTACAAAATTAAAACGCGTGGCTGAGGTAACAAGGCCAGTACTTTCTTTGAATGACAAAAATGCTGGTCTGGGTCTCGATAGGGTACTTAAAAATTAAAGCAGAAACGCTAAGTACAATTGAATGAGACGACATACGTCCGCTGTCATCTTGTGCGGTCACTGCTACCACGTTCTTAAAGCGGAAAACTTAGCCCAGTGACATGGATTTTCGGTCGCACTTAGCATATATCGCTTGGTTAGCTTTTCCAAAAATGTACTGATAAAATGAAAAAGTTCCCACTTATAAACTGTTTCAGTAGCCGTCAGCAGCGAAGTCATAGATACGAGCCCTCCACGATCGCCACTTAACAGTTTCAAGGTCAATATGGCCGGACGGGGTCTTTACGAGCAGTTAGAGTCGAATGCATAGCGAAATATGAAAAGATAAAGACTCGTGAGCTCATGCTATGGCTCAGCAGATGGGAAGGTGGTGACGGAAATTTGTCATTCCTAACAGAAGAAAACAACAGTAAAACACACACAAAGTAAATGCACCGAATACTCGTCTCCAGACATTCTGATACATTAAACAAAAGTGTGAACCCTCATTTGTAAAATTGAGACATGATGGTGTGTGGTCAGACGAGTTCGCTCTATGGCAGAAATGCCGACCACCTGAGGCGTACATACATCGGATAGTGAAGTTGGCAGTGACAGCATTGTCAAGGCGTCGAGGTTGGACTCCTAGCACACCGGTGGCCTTCTAGCATACAGCGAAATTCGATGGCCGTACTGTTACATGGCGACAGTAGACAACCACTAGGTTTTGTTTGCCACCGTTGCCCAAAACGCTAGGGACAACCTCGAATAAATCACTTAAATGCCTGCAGGGAACTCACCCAGACTTTAAAATTTCAAAGAAATCTCACGGAAAATGGCCGATTTAGATATTACGATGCCTGCTACGGCGTCCGCAGGGATTGGAGCGCTCCAAAACCGAAGTCTAATGGTGCCAGCAGGACTGATCAATCGAGAACAGACTCTTGGCACTGAATGTACGAGTGTACGAACGTGCCCCGATTCTGATACCCAAGGTCTGATGGTGCGCACTATCAGTAGGCGGATATATGGTTGCCCGTGCGAGTTCCGAATTCCTGTCTCAGGAGCCCGTTAAATACGGAAGCTGTGGGTCGACCACGGCCCACAAGGCTCTTATGATAGACAGTGTGACGACCAACCTCTTGAAACAAGCTAATCCTGTTCTACTTGCGTGAGAAACAATCGATGGCCGCCGACTGGCTTACGCAGGACGGCAGGGGTACTTAATGAATATCTCTGCCGTCAACCGTGTGCGAACCAGTATCAGCTAGCGATCGGCGCAATAATGAAACCTGCTCGCAAATGCAAGAGCTGGATATGAGAAAATTTCAACGATCGACACATCTCTCCCTCCTTTCCGGCGGAGTTCTATCGTTCTCTATCGTGTGACTTTCCGCAGAAGAAAGTAGGCGATTTAATAAAGAGGCAGGTGGACAGGCACAACTATCTCTCAGGGAGGCTGCTGACGGATGAAAGGAGGACAACGCCGTCTCCCGAATCGATAACACTGACGGAGTCATTGTGTCGTAAGGGGTGTGCATGGGTCTGACGCGTTATCTCTGGATTTGCGTGTACCAGGCACCTGTTCAGTCAGCAGTTGAGAGTTCTCGGCTATGGATGTGGAAAAGAAGCCAAAGATGGGAGTTTAATCATCGTTGCCAGGAAACCCAACTTTGAGTTAATTACGACAATTTGTACTCAAATGAGACAGTCAGGATTGGCTACATCTCGAAGATATCGTGCCATCGAAGGACGACTGAGGTGACTTGGACACGCTCTTCGTTGCACACCCGTGGGTCCGACTGTGCTGCCCTCCTGAAGGCATCGAGGTCAAACCACGACCTGGCTCAGCATAGTCCGTCAAGGCATGCGGGGCGGTTAATGAGCCTTCAGCATCAGCCCCCTATCATTGGAGTGGAACGGGTAGGATCCTCTGGATCTGACGCCGCAGATCGTCCCACGTGGACTTCTAATTCGCGACGCCATCGAGGCCGGATAGATTGGATTCGGCCTCCCCACTCCCAGCCGACATCCGAGGAAAAGTTGCCCGACCGGATCTGATTATGGTGTCCTTTGACGTGGTATCATTATTCACGTCCATCCCACCAGACCTGACACGCGATGTTCTTCGCAAACGACTCGAAGAGAACTACGACGAAACGAACAGACCCCTAAAAATCGACCACTCACTGCAACTGTTTGCTTTCTTCCAACAAACCTTCTTCACCTTCAATGGCAGAACATACGAGCAGATCAAAGGAATGCCGATGGGTTCGCCAATATCCAACCTGGTTGCAGAACTAGTCTTGCAGGAGCTGGAAAGTCGCCTTCAACCACTATGAAACTGCATTTTGGCGCCGGTACGTGGACGACACGTTCGTTATAATTGAAAGGAGCAGATTGGCCGACTTTCAAGACCTGCTCAACGGCATCTTCCAGGACATTCAGTTCGCAAGAACAGCTGCCTTCCCTTGACGTTCTCGTCACATGCACACCCAACGGCGAACTCAACACCAATGTGTACAGAAAGGCGACTAACACGACTCGGATTCTCAACTACCACAGTAACCGCCCAATGGCGCATAAACGCAGCTGTGTTGGGACACTCTTCCAAAGGGTAAAAACGCACTGCAGTGAGCCAGAGGGACGAGTACGAGAACTTCGGAATCTTCCGGACCAAGTGGCAAGGAATGGATATCCGAACAGCTTCGTCAGCCGCTGCCTCCGCACGCGCCCACGGCGGACAAACGGAGGAGAGCCCCCAACACTCTGGCACCCTCTACCATATATAAAGAACATGTCCGAAACTATGGAACGTATTTCTGGAGAGTTCGGCGCGGATATCAATCACCGTCCGACAGTGACCATGCGCGACAAAATCATGCGAGTGAAGGATCGTCTAGACGTGGGAGAACAATCGGGTGTCGTCTACCAGATCACATGCCGTGACTGCCCTCGCCACTACACAGGACAGACCGGACGACGAATTAGCTCACAAATAACGGAGCACAAACGGGCGGTCCGAAGAGGCGACCCGTTGTCTCAGGTCGCCACTCACATCCTGGAGGAAGGCCATGAATTCAACTTCGCGAGCACGCGGAAGGTAGCGCGGGCCAACAATAAGACAGGGCGAGAACTGTTGGAGGTCTGGGTGTCTGACACCAACTCTACCAACAGGCACGTTGACATATCCCCCTGCTATCCCACGCTCCGTTCCCGCGGCCAAGAGGCGAGACCCAATTTCCAGCCAAGGGCGCACGCAGCCACGCCACCGTGAGACGGCGTGGGACTCAGCTTATCGCGAATACCACCCTCTGCACTCATATCCCCCCCTCCATGGCTTGACCACAAAATCTGCTCATTTGATGTCGCATTCTCACAGTCTCTGACGATGGCCTCCTGTACGAGACCGAAAGCTCAGACTAATACACCTACTGTCCCAGAGATCGTGTGTTCATCTTCTTTACAACAAGAACCTGGAATTCGCATATTCGCTTCCATACGTGAAGATTAGACATTATTCCTGGAGTAGCAGGTACAAGGGACGGGCAAAATCTTGATGTATTCAGAATAGTAAAGACGTGCGCAAAATAGGAATCGAAACTAATGCTGTTTTACGATCTTGTTAAATTCTCCGGAACGAGAGGCAACAGGGAATTTTAGACATGTTTGTATTCAAAAGATCCAAAACCGGACAGGGGACGAAATTCGTCACTAAGGGCTAACCTTGAGCGTTCCCTTCGGAAGTGTCCATCACCATCGCCAAAACGACCGTTTGCCAGATGATTTGCAGTCAGGCTCTGTTGAAGACGGTCAATTTCCTTCAAATTTTCAATATTGAAGTTTATCAGTAACTTTGCATCGTTGATGGCAGAGCGGGTGCCTGTGAAGGCGAAAGGGACACAGTTTGGAACAGTGGCTTCTTCGGCACTCTGGACACGAATTCTTGCAAGTCCGATGCGGTCTACTAGTGCTTGAATGTGGCGATTCTTTTGGCCGATGATTCGAGAGACGTATTCTTGAGGGACTTGCATGATTTCGGTGGCGTACTCCAGTACCTTCTTGGCGCTGTCCACAGCTTCCTTAGTCTACAAATAGGCCGAAACGTGGAAGACTAGTAGAGTAATACAAGAGGGAAAGCATGTAATTAAGTGCATTACTATGGCTAAAGTAGGTAACATAGCAAGGACTCGAGGGTACTGCACGTTTCAAAAAGATTCTGCTCATAAGTAGTACTCTAGATACACGGTAAAATATGAGCGCAAGAGGTCTGCAACCAAAATCGTCGTGTAATCTGTTTTATACAAGTAACTTCCACGCAAATTGAAGTTCAGACGACCATGAGTTAACAGGTTTTCGGAGGCATATGATGAATGCCTTCTCACAGACGTACCTTACCAACAACTTTGAATGTGCAAGTTTCAGGACGCAGGACAACGCTCACGACGCCATCCAGAGCTCTAGCACGACGAATGTTAGCGCCGCGGGCACCGATAGACTGTCCAATCAGGTCCGGAGAGACGGGAAATTCTTCGTGGAAGAGAGCATCGCTCTGCGAACAAATGGAAGAAATAGGACTGCATAAACGGTCAACTTACTCAGAGCTGAGGCATCGGCCGAGGTGGTCTAATACAGATTAAAATTAGTTTTCTAGTCCGGCAAGTGGCTTTAGACAAGTCCTAGGTGCAAACGCAAGCATGCCTTGACGTGCGCTTGTTCCTCCTCCAGGTATTTAAGGCAACCAGATATAAGCAGGGGGATGGATCCGAAATATTTCATTAAATGTCCTCCGCGTGAGCCTGGAGTGACCATTTCTGGATTACTTGCTATCGCCGGCCAATTATGCTCTCAACCCGAGGTGTCGACGTGTTCGAGCTCCGAGACTGGGTTCATTGGATCAAGACGTCCTATCATTCGAGGTAGCAGGGCTTGCGCTGTCGGTCGTAATCGGCGAACGCAACCCTGTGACATCACACTTAAAACAGTTGCAGGGGACAATCAGCGAATCCGTTAAGAGGTCATTATTTTTGATGCTGCGGACTATTGGGAATAAATAGTGCGTGCTATTAAATCAAGAGCCCTTGCTATCGTTGATGGGATCACCTGAGTTGGACTGCCAGCAATGTTCGCCTACTACATTCTCCAAGCCCATTAACTATTTTTGATTGTTTCGGCCTCATCTCTGGAAAAAAAAAATTTTGACATGCAGTAGATTCAAACTTAGTCTAAACCTAAAGAGCTGAAACACACAGACATGAGAAATCACTCAAAAAGCGCACACTTCGCCAACCGCAGACTTCCAACCAAAGAAACTTCTTTAGGGAAATTGGTACACTTTGCTGCATATAAAAATAGCCGACGACAAAGCGGTACCTTGCCTGCTTGATTTTCTTTCAGCTTCCGATTAAGTTCGCCAATCTGATGAAGAATAGCAAACTTTTGGCGCAGCATGCGAGCGATTTCCGGTCCAAGAGTCTGTGCTTTCTGAATACCTTCCACAGACGTGCAAATAACGAGGAAGTAGGCCTTTGTTTCATCTTCTAGGTTAGCCTGGCACCCATTAGGTAGTTGGATTTCGGGTGTAACTTTACACACCAACATTGAAGGCCCACAAGTTCGGACAATGTGCTGTAAGTTTTGTTGCTCTTGGAAGCTGAAAAGAAAAGAGAACTTTGAAAGTAAGTTGTCACTTTAAAACCCCTAGGAAAGCGTCATTAAAGTTGGAGAAATGGTTGTTTAATTGCTCATTGAAGTAGTGGAGCTACCTTGTTGAAATGAATAGCATGCCTGCACTTGTTTATTTTTCCAATCGAGATTGAACAAATAAACGGACGCGGCACAGTTGCTAAAAGACACGAACTGTAGAGCTCTCGTGGTACAGAATATACAGATGCCATGCTAGCTGTTGCATCCGAAAACATCAACTCTGATCACATTTTTAAATAAGGGACTTATAAAATTCTGATTTTTGATCTTTGTTGTCCACCAATCAACAACGTGGACAATATGGCCCACGTATACACAGAGACAGTCCAAAGTTCATATTGCATAATTTACCCACTTACCGACCTAGTTGCAATCTTCCAGCATAGACTTCCTGGCCTAATTATAAAATACTGCAAGGTAGTAGCAGAAAAGCTTGAGAGGCTCATAACTGGCTTTAATGGGGGGTGAGAGCCATTGCGAATAATAGGATCTTGCATTACAGTTTGCATTCAAGTTGAGGCACCACAAAATTTAACGCCAGCACTGGAAACAATCATACGCTGTCAAGAAATGTCGGGGCTTTGAAAATAAACGGTCAAGTAGGCTGCATCGAGAACTTCCCTGAGCGCACACTACAGCAATCACTACCTAGCTATTATACCGCGTCCGGATCCCACAGAGTGTCGGTCTCGAAAGTCTCCCAGGTTCGACTTTACACATCTGCTGGTCACTACGACGGACAAAGACTTCAGCTTGATTCGGACGCACCATCTCAGATAACGACCATTAAGTGTTTGGAGTAAGAAGCGTAGTTGCAAAATTTTACAGAGAGATTTTAGAAGAGAGCGGCGTACAGAGACTGTCGACAACCAGGGCGAGATGGTCTTGATCTTAATCTTCCGCACTCGGAACTCTCTTTTCAGCTGTGTTGAGGAAAGATCACAACTGTCTGCAGAGACGAAAAATCACGCGAGCCGCAAATTGTGTGCGACACTTAACCTCTCCAGACATCGCTGTGTAGGACCCTAAGCATACGTTCATCAACGCTTCGGCCTTCACAGAGCCTATTTTCAACTCCAACACCCGGAAATGGGCAACTATTCAGTTAGATCACGTCTCTTCCAAAAAGGATTCGGACAATAGCCATATAATCGACACAGTCGTGAGGCAAAGTACGCATATGTGCTATAGGGTCACCTTGATAAGAGGTAGGCTGTCCGGCCGGAAACAAGGTTCTGCACCAGGTGGAGCGGGTTTTCGAAAAATCTTCGGTTACAATGCTGAGACATGGAATAACAAATGTAATGGTGATCAATGGTTATCATGCTCGCAGCGGTTAACTCGCTAACAATCGCCCTGAAGTTTTACGCACGAAGAGCGTTTACAATTTTAGTCCGTTCTAGTACACCATATGTCAGCAGTCTATGTCAGGATCAACTGGAAACAAATTGAACATGTTAATCCCTTAAAAAACGTTAATATCCAACCGTGGTAAGGCTGACAAGAGACTGAGTCTAGATCTTTAAAAGCAATGGATAATGCCAAGGCATTGATCACAAATTATGCGAACCAGACAAACGACCTGCGCGATAAAATCTACCACAGCGGCACAAAGCCCCTTCAGTAACCGGAATAACTGAAATAAGCTAGTAGAAACCGGGCGAATAAGCTTTCACGCATAACGCACGTCAAATGAAGCCAGAAGTGACTGGAAAAACTTTTAAGGCCAGCAGTTTGTAAAAAAATTCGGTATTGAAAGAGTCGTTTAACTAAGGCAGATGTTGCCCAACATCAGTCAAGGCTTTTCAAACCGTCGTCGTTCCACGGATTCGGACCTGGACCTAAATTCCCTACCGGTCTACGGGTCCGAATGCTCTACGACTATTTATGACGGGAAACAGTAAATACGACTTCTCCGTGGCTGATCGTGGGCGCGATGTTAAGTATATGAATCGTCATACGTCAGCAAGACTTTCCAATTACTTCAATATAATAGGCTGAAAAGCGAAGACCCGTAGGAGCAACGCAGACTGTCCAGACCCTCAGCGGGTTTCCCACTGGTAACCTGCTAGGCAGTTGAGTGCCCTTGCTGTTGCTGAAAACAATGGATTGAAGTTGGAAAACAACCGGATCCAATGCACGGCATTTGAAGCGGATGTAGGTAGAACACCAATCCGGTTAGAATTTTAAAAAATTTCAGGCAACGGTAAAAACCCCATCTGAGATGGACACTTCAGGAAAATTTGGCAGTATGAAGTGTCCGGAAATGGACTTTGCAAGGGTAGCTGTGACTCGTGGCTGGTAAGCTGGTGATTACGCCCGATTTCGTCGGACTCGATTACATCGCGAGCTGCACCTCTCCATGTGTGAAGATCTGCGGCACCTGACACAGAGAGCTCGACTCACGAATACCGAAGGTCAAATAACTACCTGCATGTCTCGACGGACTGTGCTTAACAAAGATTTGAGTTGACCTCTTCCGTACCTCTACGTGGCCAGTCTGGTCGGAACAAAGACAGCAACACTTGACCCACAGGGTGTGCGACGAAGTGCGTGCCCAAGCCATCTAGGTCGTCTGTAGGCTACTTTAGATACCATCAAGATGATGCGAGTGCTGACGATCTCAAGGGGACAAAGTCGGCGTATCTAACTTGATGTATGGCTCTCGGGCAACTGTGGTAAAACACCCCCAGTCTTGGATTTCTTTCTGGGTGCATATCCTAACACTCATAACTATGCAGTAGGACTGACCGTACAGGTGCCCGATAAACTCAAACCCTCGTTGTGATAGAGATGTCGTGTCAAACCCATACCGTCAGCATCGATTCGGAAGATGGTGTCATTTTGACTCCTTATTCGGTACCAGCTTCGCCCCGAGGAATTTGAAGTTGTCCACCTTTTCGAGCCGACAGCCACGAATGCCGAGAGGTGCCCCTCATGATCAGAAATGCGGCCGGGGTGCATTGTTCATCCCAGCGTGTGCAGATAAATGGACTTATTCCGCGACTTCGTTCATCCGTGTCAGCATAGATCAGCCAGCGTACGCTGGACACTCGGAAACGTCACGGCACCTTCGAAAATACAATACAGGGCGTAGTCAGACAGGATGAGTAGAATACAACCTTGGCAAACGCCACACCCAATACGAGCAGATGGATCTTTGTTGGGCACAACTTGCACAACGGCGGAGCGATTAAATGCTTGTTACCTGATACGGCTACGATCATGCCTGATCTAGCCGGCCTCGATGATGTCACGGACTGTACCTCTCCACGCCTGACGATCTGCGGCAGCAGATCTGGACAGTTCGACCCATTCTCTTCGCCAACGATGGAAACCGAATATCGACGGTTCAAGAACCATCTTTATGTCTCGACGAACTGTGTCGAGCCAGGTTTTGAGTTGACCTCTTCTTCAACGCCTCCAATGAGGCAACGGTGCCAGATCGAGGGCAGTAACACTCAGCTCCTGAGGTGGACGACGAATAAATGCCCAAACCACGTCAGTCGTCTTTCTTGGATGGCCTGAGTTAACCAGGCGATGTTGTCGCAGCGAGCGCGGACTGTCTCATGAGACGACGTCAGTGAACTTCACTCGAAGGATGATTCTCAAGCAGCGATCAAATACCTCCAGTTTTCGCTCGTCCGCCACGCGCAAAGCCCAGCATTCACAACCGTAGAGAAGGACAGACCGGACAGATGCATGGTACACGCGAATCTTAGTGGCGATGGGGAGGTCGCGCCGGACCCATAGACATTTTCAAAGGCTTGAGACAACCCGGCTGGCATCATCAATTCGGGGGACAATGTCAACCCTACTCCGTCCACTAGGCAGCAGTCTCGCCCCGAGATATTTAAAACTGATCACTTCTTCAGGTTGACAGCCATCAATCCCGAGGGTTGCTGTCTACTGGTTAGGGATGCAACTTGAAAACACTTCAGTCTTCTCAGCGTTTATGGACAAACCGACCGATTTAGCGGCCTTGTTCACCCGTGACCATAGAATGCAGATCACCAAAACTTGGAACAAGTAAGTCGATATCATCGGCATAGTCGAGATCAGTCAGTCGGTGTCCGCGTGCAAACTCAAGACCGTCACCCTCGTGTAGGGCCCTCCTGAGAATGCAGTCAATAGCGTAGTTTAACAGAATGGGCGGCAGGATACAAACCTGTCGGACGCCAGACCGAATACCAAACGGTTGGGTAAGATTGTTGCGTACCAGGACTCTCGCAGTAGTGGAGCGATAATAGGCTTCGATCATGGTCATGATTTTTGCCGTTATACCATCCAGCGCCATTATCCGCCACAGGGACTCACGATGAACGGAATCGAACGCGGCGGCAAAGTCAAGAAAGCAGACAGTCGTCGGTTGTTGGTAGCTATGGCGAAATTCGAGAATGCGCCTCAGTGTGAATATCTGGTCTGCGCATCCACGTCCAGCACAAAATCCGGCTTGGTTGGGCCTCGTCCTTGAGTCACGCACAGCCTGGAGTCGCCTGAGTAGGACAATAGCGAAGACCTTCGCAGCAACGTCGATGAGGTTTATGCCGCGGTAGTTCTCGCATCTTGTCTTGCATTCCCTCCTGATGATAGGTACAAGGATGGCTAAACCCCAGTCATCAGGAACAACCTCGTTTCTCCACGCTCGTTCAATCACCTCATGGAGTTAGGGCGTCAGCGTGTCGACACAAGACTTGTAGATTCCAGCGGGTATACCGTCCTCTCCGGGTGCCCTGTTGTTGCGTAGCTTTCGTATGACATCAAAGACTTTTTCTTCAGAGGAGGGGTCGCATTGCACTGCGTAGGTGGGAGAGGGATGAAACTCCGCTGAGGAGGAGTGCAAGGGCGTGATGGGTTGGGTATCGAAGTTGAGATGGTGCTCGAAGTGCTCACGCCGGCGCTCGACTTTGGCCAGGTTGTCAACAAAAAAGCCAACATTCGCGTCGCGAACAGAGTCACTCAGACTTACTGCTAACTTGACGGATAAGTTGGTAGTGTTTTTGAGTGTCACCAACGCTCGAGGTCGCTTTTTCAGCGGAGCGATATACGACTTTATCCAAAGCGACCCTTGCCGTCACACCACCCAACTTCACTACCCATTGCTGGAACTCAGGATCAACGGAATAGGATAATGCAGCAGTCAACAAAGCGGACGGTCGCCCGTAGATGATAACCATGATGGAATTGAAGAAAGTATCACAGCGTGAATATCTTGTCAGTGCATCCACGTTCAGTCCGGAGCCTCCATTTGTTGAGTCTCGTTCGGGAGTCATGCAAACTTTAAAATCATCGAAGACTTTCGCAGCGCCAGTGAGGCTTATTCCACGATAGCTCTCGCGCTGTCTTATCTCCGACCCTAAAGGATATTTGATTTCCAGCCATAGGAAACGAGCTCATCTTCCCAGGCCTGTTCAACAGCCCAATGAAGTCAGAGTACCTTACCGACACACATGGGCGCATCAGGCAGCGGCATGTGGGTGAACTCGTTTTGGCGGAGTCTTTGCAAGCTTGCCTACAAGACTGGAGAAGGGATGTCCTAAACAACCTTGTACAAAGAAACAGTAGTGCACGACCGAAAGGACAACATGTAGCATTTTCCAACTATGCGTGGACAGTGATGCTGGCCATAGCACTTTACTAACCACGACTATTAATTAGATCAGGATGTCTATCCGAAAATAGCATGCGATGCTGATACGGTCGCCAGAGGTGAGAAGGAAAGACCCGGCAGTCATTAAACTTTTAAAAAAAACGATTTTTCGGGCCTTGACCTTCGGTCACAGAGTACAAGCCGCATTGGTACGTGAAGCTCCACGTTCTAACTGGCGAAAACATCCGAGACCTTGGTCGGTAAAAACGTAAACATAGAAGATTCGTGCACATGAAACCTCCACAGGCACCAAAGGAAGGTGTTACAACACATGGTAATTTAGGAGTGGACTTACAGATTTTCCAGTTCTTTAGGAACTTCCAGGATGCATGTGTGAAAATCCGAAACGGACATCATTTTCTGCGTACTTTGCGGGCGTACTTGCTCGTGCTCAACAACAGGCTCGAAGGTAGGCAGAGGTATTCGAAGGCCCTCGGGATGTTGGTTCCCGCTTTCTTCTACTTTAGGTAAGTCCAAAACAATGAATTCGCCCTTTTGCTTTGCTACTTGGGCAGGCCACCACGACGGTGGGAGCTCGCCAGGAGCGTACACGAGAGTGGAGATATCATTATCTTTAGGGGCTTTTCCAAAAAGCGCCTCAACAGCCAGACCAACAGACAGTTCGCACTTTGAAAAATCATGTCTGGTGTTCTTCGGAGGCTTTCTAAGTTGGCACGGACGAACGCTGATTTCGGAGGGAAGATCCGACGTGGTTTCGCCAATAAATTTAAATATAAAATGTTCCGGGTCTTTGTAGCCGCACACGTAACCCTTCATAAAAAAATGTTAGATTATTTGTCAAAGTTTTACCGGGTAATATTCGCCATGGTCGCCCCGAAGTTCCACTGCTATGCCTGAATCCATTTGCGATTGTTAACCAGCGAGAAAATGCGTGTGATGCCCAAAACCAAACAACCAAAACGCACTAGGGCAAAATTTAAACAAGAATGCACATGAACATCTCCAGGGGTCAAAGATACTATAACTCTGGATACCAAGCTCTACTCTGTGCCCACAAACCAAAATATACAGAGAAGCAGGATCCTTATCTCGACGTCAAGAACTTGCGAAACAACGGGTGGCTGAAGGAATGCACAGCGAAGTGCAACAGAGCACAGAGCTGCCCATGAAACCTGGGGAGCGCTCATACAATGACGAAAAATTCTGTGAATACACGGAAAATACCAGATGTACAATGTGAAAAATATGCCAAAACCATGGACAGGAGAATTATAAAGTGAGGTGTTATCCGTCTTTCTCATAAGAGCATGGTCAAAACCATGCCATGGGTATTTTAAAATTTGCATGGATTGTTCTGGAGGGGGAATGTCAAGGATGACAACTGTCTATAAGTAACGGAAGCAATTCAACAAGTCAAACTCTTTTGGTAAGCATTCCTCTTTCTGACCTGTGCTGAATTCTACAAGGAGTCGGAATTTTTCTGCTATAATGCATACGTAAGCTTTTGACACCGGGAAACATTTTACCTAAGACATTTTTCTCGGAAAAATATGTCAACTCCTGTTCTGCGGTGTCTATTCCCTCTCCGTTGTGTGTACGCATTAGATGTTATTAGGTCTTGAAGGGCAAATTTGAGTTAAAGAGCATTCAAACATGCAAGACCGAGGGTCGTAAGGCCCGCTAAAGATGGACTAATTTGTCGACTGCTACTTCGCGATTTTTATCGACTGCCGGACAATCTATCATGTGGGTCGTCAAATACTAACTATTTCAAATTTTTCCCGCAGTGATGGGCAAAATGTTGAGGGTTATTTTAGCCTTGACCGCTCTTCCAATGCCGACGATCAAAATATGACGGCAACAAATAATAAAAATAATAGCAATAATAATTATAATTTTTTCCATGGTCAGTGGGAGTCAGGTTATAGCAAGCAAGAATACCGTTTACGTGAATTTTAGAACGGGTATACAGAATCAATATTAAACTTAATTCATAATTATTGAATAGGCGGTATGTTACGAAGAGTGATGAGCGAGCAGTGAAAACAAACTCACAGCATAAACAAAACGAATATGACTAGATTAATATTATAGGAGAAAAACTGTCGCTCACGAAAGGAGAAAGAGCTGGCAGGACCGGCCTGCGTGTGGCAGTGTATAACGGATTTCATGAAGGAGTAAGTACGCGGGTCAGACAGGACTGACCTTCATGCGGTACTGAGCAAAAGGTCCGAAACAGACATCATCAAGGCAGAATTCATATGTCGGATGACGCCATCCACGTCAAAGGGGCGAATATAAAACCAGTCTTGAGCAATAGGAACACCGACGCGATCGTTCACAGTCAGCCGAGTCCAGACGAGGAGGGGGCAAGGGAGATGCGGCCAAACCATTAGTATATGGCGAATACAAACGGTTCCGTCAAGAACGTTGATAAAGCGCATTCTGTTAGGGGCACGATGCATGAACTGAAAAATCGAACAAAGTAACATTTGTGATGAAGGATCCTAGAAAGCGGTAATACACGCAAAAGAAGGACATGTTAGTGGATACGGAAAATTTATGGCGGCGTCCTAAATTCCCGATTGCCCTTTCTCGGTGTCATAGAAAAAATTGTCCAAAAATGATTAGGCAAATAAAACTTTAATCGAGTCAGTATTCAGATAAAGGAGCAGCGTTTTCGTAAAAGTGTGTAAATTATCTGAAGATCTTTTATTTATTGGAAGTTTATTCCAGAGAAAAGAATATATTGAAACGAAAAAAGAGAGCGCTTAGAGGCGGAGGAAGCGGTTGGAAGCATAATAAAGGAAGAATTGCAAAGATTGTATGGCCGATTACATGGGGTAAGTGCTGAAATTGGAGAAATATTTGGGCTATTATTAATGCGAAATTGGAGATAGAAGCCTGCATCTAGTCTTTGAACCCATAAAATTTTTAAGTTAATTAGCTGGTCTCTATTTGAGTAGGAGATATTTGGATGTTCCATGCCTAAAAGTCTTCTTGTAAAACTCCTTTGGACATTTTCTATTTTGAACGATTGACTTCGTTTATCAAACCAAAGAATGGGCAACAATACTCGGGAATGTGAAGTACAAACATACGATAGAGTCTTAACTTAATCTTAGGAAGATAAAATTGTAAGAAATAAAGCCACGAAACTGGGTAGCTTTGGCTGCAATTCTGTCAGCGTGTGGCGAGAGATCAAGATAATTAGTGTAGCTTAAACCTTAATCCTTGATGGTGGTACATTCAGTCATAGGTGAGTCTTGAAAGACCACTGGATGTGATAGCCTCTCAGGTCCAAAACACATACAGCGACATTTGGACGGGAGAATTCCGTTAGCCATTTTGAGCTCCAAGCTGGGAGAGCAAGCAAGTCATCATGGATTTGCTCCAGGCAATGAAGGCTCGTAGAATTATTGAATGAATATACACATTTGAGATCATCGGCATAAATAAATGATTGAGAATGCTTAACTGCCGCCGAGATATCATTAACGTAAAGCAAGAACAAAAGAGGACTGAAAACAGAGATGTGAGGATGTCCGATCTTTGTTCGATCGGTCCACCGATCCCAATTAGACTTAAGAATTTATTTGATGGCATCGTATTTTATAGAAAATCGAAATGAATATTTCAATGGCTCCATCAGTACAGTGGTAATTATGGCCGTTATATGCTATCCCTAAAGGGTGTATCTGCACAGCAGCGAGAACGTATGTTGTCTGTGAGCTAAAATTACCAAGTCAAATACCATGTTGGAAGGGGAAGACAGAAAGCACCAGAATGGGGAATCATATGTATACGAAACCCAGTGTTGTCCTCTCAGGAGGCAGTGGCCACTGGCGAAGACAGAGCTAATGTTGGCTGCATCCATTAATGCCTGAGAGTCCCTGAGACAGTGGTGACAGCCGCTTTCGTAGGCTCATGGGCCAAGCTCCATTGGTGTCCAGTCAGTGTGTGTTGCATTTGCCGAGGGGTGGTGTTCCAGTGGCTTAGATTGTGGTTGCGGGGCGAGGTATGCTCAAGTGGCCTGATAGGTAGCTACGGCTGTGCGGACGCGGGTATGCCCGAGCTGTCGGTCGTGTGACTTCAGGTCATCGCTTATGGAACGGCTCACTGCAAATGGGTGAATGACCTTGATGCAGCGAGGTCTTGAACAATGACGCCAGACCGGTCATAATGGCTACCCGCTACAAGGGCGTAGTCTGTCGCAAGGTGTTCAATATATTTTACGATAAAGTGCAAGCATGCAATTCAAAAGGAACATAAGTAGTGCAGCAAATTACGATGGAGGACTGTGGACTGTGCAAAAGACAATTTTTATCTGAATGAAACATAATACCCATCGTTTGAATGCTGTCGTAATATCGAAGTAACCGGTCTTACTTGGAAATTTTTTCCACTGTTAGACCACTTGCTGGTTCTAGGAAATCTCCGATTGGCCTATAAGCGTAAATCAGCGTTGGACCTCCTGCAATTAGCTGTACATAAAAATATGGAGTGAAGTCAAATGCGATGGTGACGCAGAGACGTTGCAGTCGAACATCGACAAACTGTGTGCTTGGTCGAACAGATGGCTTTTGAAGTTTAACGTGTCCAAATGCGTGGTTTTGCACCTGAACACCGGCCGCAATGCCTCTCCCAAACATCAGTACTATATTGACGGGACGAGGTTAGAAACTGTGGAAAGACACAGAGATCCGGGCGTATGGACCACCACAAATCTATCGCCATCAGAACACTGCAGAAAGATGGTCCAGAAGACAACTAGTACTCTACACTGGATCAGACGTGCATTTAAAATATTTCCTCCCGAACTCTTCGAAAGACCCTTTGGTGTCTTTGTAAGACCTCATCTAGAGTATGGAATGCCAGCAGCTTCACCATGGATGAGGAAGGATACCAACTTACTCGAACAGGTGCAACGCAGAGCGACAAAGATGGTCGACGGTCTAAAGCATTTGTCTTATCAGGAAAGGCTAAATTTGCTTGGCCTATTCCCTCTCTCTTATAGACAAATAAACTGCAGTCTACTCTGGACGTTCCGGATTGTTCGCGGCCAGGGTTGCTCATTAAGAGCAGAGGACTTCTTTGAGTTCGCCCGTACAAACCAACTACGCGGCCATGCATTCAAAGTCGGGAATGAGCGCTCGCGTTTAGACCGACGAAAATTTTCATTCAGCCAGCGGGTTTTCAGACCGTGGAACTCGCTTCCAAGCGAAATGGTGACGGCTGACACAGTTCGTGTGTTTAAAAGAAAACTTGCTCGTCTAGTTTTCGACAGAAATCGACTTGTACAGCATGACTATGCACAGCCAGCTCTGTAAAATCTGTGATATACAATCTTCCGCACTAATTTACAGTGACCCCATGCACTACCTTATGATTACGATTTAACTGTGACCCAATCACATTTTAAATGCCTGCATTTTTATTTCATTTTTGAGTATGAATCTGCGAAAGCACTGTACATAAATAGGGTCATCAAGGGCTCTGCCTGTAACCCTTCAGTATACATATACATATACATAATGTCCATATTGGACTGCATTTTTGTACTATGCAGGAAAGGAGGAAAAGCAAGCTCGATCAGTGTGTCTAGAAATGAAAGTTTCTGAAATTCGTCATCATTCCTGTTGTTTGTTAATGCATATAGTCAATGGTGTCAAGAATCTTCCTTATACAGTCCGATCGAACCAGCGGGTGTCAAGAGAAGTCGGAAAAATAAAAGCGAACAGCGACTGTTGTAGAAGTGTCTCGCTGGGTGACAAAATAGATAGAAAGCTTTTAACCGTAAAAAAATTATGCTCCAAAATACTTAACTGCTGAACATAACAGCATACGTGAAATAAGCGACGAGTCGTGTGGACCTGGATGAACCATCATGCCAATAAAGATAG